GCATGTGCCTTTGGCGCTTTGATCCCACATGAGACTTAGGGGTCTGCATTGCGTGACGACTGTAAGGGCGCAGCCGAGAGTGTAAACCGTCATGAATACTAGGGCTGGTTAGCTTCGTATACTGCTATCAGAGATTTATGCTCTCACCCATGATGCCGATGATCAAGCGCCTGTAAAGCCGTCCGACCGCAATCCGAAGGAGAAAGAACCCCACAGAGACCTTGACGAAACAGATGGCGAACAAGAATATCGGCTGCGAAATGAGGTTCAACCTCAGAGCGGCTATGAAGTCTTCCTTTTTGATGTAGTCGATGTGTTTCCCCGCTCCCATGTGAACCTGTGGTATAACAAGGCATTGGCCAGCAATGCACTGCGGAGCGTTAGCAAGTTGCAGTAATTCCAAGGACTGTCGCTCCATACCAATGTCATAGCCAACAGCATCACATAGTCCTGATCGCAAAAAGTCAGTGCTGTTCACACATGCCTTGCCAGCGGAGTACTCACGTCCCAACCAACATTCCTGATCATCTTAACTCGGACATAGAACCTCGCAATCGTCGTGAGCACGGCCACGACGGTGACGGTTAGCGTGCTTGCGAGAATGGTGGGACCCTGATCTTCGTAGGGACGCATTGGTGGCATGGTTTCGCCGCTTTGTTGCATGTTGGAAAGCACGTCAATTGAAGGTGAAGGATTCCGGATCACGCAAGTCTTTCGAAGTTCCAGCAAGATGCTTGCACTATATGCAATATAGTACCAGTGAGCGGGAGTTCGCGACGACGTCAGGGGTTTCACATGGCGTACGTCTTGAGACCAGCAGCTCCTGTCTGCAAGACCTTAAACCGCCACACGGAAGGACGGAGAGAATACAGTTAACCGCAAACCTTGTTTTGGCATCTGCGATCCATCACGCCGCGCAAGAGGTTGGGCGCATCGAATCTGGTACCGAGCAATAACGACATGTGCTGGCGAGAAACCGTCTGGACTAGCCTCGCTACACCTCGAAGGAAGGGTGGCTGTGGACGGCTCATTCGAGACGAAAGTATGGGCCTTTGCGTGACAGAACGACGGGGCAGGGAATAGTGTCCCTTGATTCAAGAGTACCCCTGCAGACGGTAGAGTCTCAAGTGCAGGGTCTCGGGGCACGGCACTGGAAGGGTAATCTAAGTGCGGTCCTAAAAGACCTCGGGAGTTGCGACGGCACTGAGCTGTGGCGGACCGCCCATTGTAGCGGCGCTTTCTGACAGTAGTACATGAATTGAATCGCCATTGAAGGTGTTCTTCGTGCTACCAGTCAGTGAAAATAATTGACCCTACCCGCAAAAAGCAGACACAGATGCATGACTGAGCTACCTGCCACGTGGGTGTGAAGCTGCCAAGGTAAGGCCGCGAGGTACTTACTCGAAGTACCGCATGAACCGCACTCTAGAGATCGTTAGAATGAGTGATGAAGGGCTAGCAGTCTGCATGTCATACCGTTTACTGCACATCTTCGAAACTAAAACGCTGCAAAGTGCTAGTCTGGAGCTCGGGCCCGTGGAGAGTGATTTTATCAATACGACCGAGTACGATAGGAGAAGAGGGGGGAGTCCGCGGATCAAATTGAGTACGTTGATGGTATCAGGCTGTGAAGAGAAGGGCCGTTGCGTGAGTAGATCCCCAAGGCCGTGTAGGCTGTACTTGAACATGGACTCTGCCGCTGCCGGTAAGCTCGAAAACATACTGAAACGATACTCGAATTCATCTACTGCAAACCGAGGCAGGACTGAAGAGAGCTGAGAGCTGAGGGATCGGCTAATCTCTGCTGCGCTCCTCGCTTCCAGGCGCCTTGTAAGGAAGGTCGTAACAGACGGCAAGTCCTCAGAGGCGCGAGAGGTAGTGCGTAAGCCAATGACTGCTTTAGAATGGGGCCTCCCGCGCGGCTCGCACGTTAGATTCGCAATCGAGATTACCCGGTAGCCTGGAGGCCTCACTAGCCTTGCGGTCGTATAAATGGAGTGGAGGAAGCGGGACGGGGAGTCGGCAAGACGGATCTCATCCCTTAGCGCGGCCTAGCGGATCGCGCCACCAATGTGCAGCGGCATGAGATGCTTAGCAGCCTTGACCCAACACGCACAATATCCGAGCTACCAGGCCTGATGCAGACAGCTGAATCATGGAAGGATCAGTACACTTCTCAGGGAATTTTCGCAAACCACATGGCTCTGCCGCCAGGATGAATATTTCCTTCCCTGCACGTGGGCGGGTCGCGGCTCATTATGCAGGTCTCGGGCGTGATAGCCTGCAGACGTGGAACAGACTGGTCTCAAAGCACCCTCGGCATCAAAAGACAAGTTTACGGACATGGCCGAGGTAGAGTTGTCGAACTACTTGTTGTATGGGTAACTAAAGATTGCGGAGCTCATACATTACTCGCACCCGTCATGATTCAGAATGCTGCGCGCCCATCATGTTCCCGCGCATCAACTCTGGGTCTTTATCCAAACGACGCTAGGCCCGTAGCCATCCGAAGACCGGGCAGTCTTTACTTGATACTATGGGTACATCGGTGCTATATGAGTTGTCCGGCAGGCTACTTCCGGATCAGCCATGCACATGTCGCCGAGCGATGGCTCTTCGATGGCTCTTCGTATGGACTCGCTTGCGGACACGACCCGGTTCACAGGTAGCCTGCCAATCTAGCCTCAGGGTCCTTGCGCTCAGGGCATAACTATAGTCGGAGATGGGGATGGGCATAGGCTCCAGCTCCAGAAAATTATTGGCCCCACACGTGGCATCGCCTTGCCATGCTCCAATGCTCCGCCATCAGACGGAGATAGCAAGACTAGATGCGGTGTACAGCATTGTTCTGGCAAGGTTCGTGGTGGCTTCGGCTTGTGCTCGCCACCAACCCCGGCAGTCAGCATGGCAAGCTCAATTGGTAGTGGTGTATGGTCATTTCTTCAAGGTATATGTATAGGAGCGGCACGTTTTCCTTTTGAACATCAGCACTCAGCTTCTTCTGCTAAACAAGCCACTTCTTGATCCTTCAGTTCCATTGGTCAACGGACAACATGCGTTTCAACTCTCCCATCGCACTGGCCCTGCTCGCTGGAACTCTATCACACGCGCTACCAGCTCCACAAGATGCGCCGATAGACCCTTCTTCGCTACCAACTGCTCCCTCAAGCGATCCTTCAGTCGCCAGCGAACAACTTGAGCAATTGGCTCTGTTCGCTCAGCAACAAGTCGAGGAAGCTCTAGCAGCAAGTTCGTCAAAGCGAGCCGCTTGCACCTGGAACAATGTGTCGGTACGCAAAGAATGGAACGCCCTGACGAAGCCGGAACGCAAAGCCTACACCGACGCAGTACTCTGCCTCCAAAAGAAGAAGGCCAAAACACCTGCTTCAGTCATCCCAGGAGCAAAGTCTCGCTTCGATGACTTTGTTGGCAACCACATCCTGAAGACTCTGGAGATCCACTACACTGGAACCTTCCTGGCATGGCACAGGTACTTCACCTGGCAGTACGAGCAGGCCCTCCGCAACGAGTGCGGCTACAAGGGCACTCAGCCCTACTGGGATTGGGCAAAGACTGCTGCTAGCGGCCTAGAGAAGTCACCTATGCTCGACGGATCCGACTCTTCTATGTCTGGCAATGGAAAGTTCATCCCAGGTCAGGGACAAGTCGTTATTGCTGGCAGGGGCGAACCTTACATCTACATCCCCGCTGGTACTGGTGGCGGCTGTGTAGAGAGCGGCCCATTCAAGGACATGAGTAAGTACTCAACACAATCACTACATTCTCGAATCAGGCACTAACAATCATCACAGAGGTTAACCTTGGCCCAGTCGCTCTAAGCACAACCAACGGAACCGAAATCGCAAACGGCGACGGCCTCTCCTACAACCCCAGATGCCTCAAGCGCGACTTGACCGACTACAGCAACAAGAAGTGGGCCAACGCGACCGCCATCGCCGACCTCATCATCAACAAGAAGGGCATCTGGCAATTCGAGATGGTCATGCAGGGTGTACCTGGAACAGACAGTCTGGGTGTACACGGAGGAGGTCACTACTCCATGGGCGGCGACCCCGGCCGTGACTTCTTCGTCTCGCCCGGTGACCCACTTTTCTACCTCCACCACGCCCAGATTGACAGGACTTGGTGGATCTGGCAGCAGCTCGACCGCAAGACGCGCACAAGCGAGGCTGGCGGTATCTCCGGTACTGGCACCTTCTTGAACATGCCTCCCTCGGCCAACACGACTTTTGATACAACCATCAACCTTGGCTATGCTGCGGATGGTACGGAGAGGATGGAGGACTTGATGAGCACGACTGAGGGACCTTTCTGCTATATCTACGTATAAGCTTGAATGACCGTTATGACACGCATGTATGCGACTGTATATACACAATAATTAGTAATTAGACATGAAACCTCAAGATCTTCATCAGTACCTGCCACTGCTCTATAGCCCTCAGATATACGGCACAAGTATTACACAGCATAAAACACCCCCTTCCAACGCCACAATCTCGCACATCCAACCAAGACACTACCGCCAACCATACAAGCACCCGCCACCTTCATCGCAATTTGCCCTCCCCGCTCACTCCCCTCAATCAACGCCGCAGCCCCAACAAGCCCACCAAAAGCACTCAGCCCAGCCAACACCATCCCAATAGCAACCCGTGCGGGCATATCATCTTCCCACCTCCCACTTATTTTCCTACTAAGTAACGACGCCGCAACAACCATACGCAGCGAGAAAATCGCCCCAAGCGCAACTCCGTACAACGCCGCAAGTGAGATAACAACAACAAGTTTTGGATAGAGAACAGGCGCAAGACAAACGGCACCTCCCAGCACCGCCGCAGCAACAAACACATTCACCGCCCCAATCTTTCTCAAAACATGTATGTTTGCCGCTGCAGATCCTGAGATAGCGGCGACGCTCAACATAGTAAGGACGCTGTACGTTGCTGTATCCGGGAAGAAGAGTCCAGGAGTTTGCGTTAGTAGTACGATGCTGTAGAAGGGGTATACGAGGATTCCTAAGAAGACAAGCATGTAGCCTAGGAGAAACCACATCCCACCACCCTTTAAATCGTTAAGGAAGTGTTTGGGCATACAGAGATGAAGTGTACGTCCCTCCATCCACTCCTTCTCTTTCCGTGGATCGAGTCTCGCGAGGAGGAGGAATGCGGTGAATAGCGTAGCGGCCATAACGCCTCCGGTGTAGAGATGGACCCGCGCCCCGTTACCATCTTCACTACTTTGGTAGGAGAATCGCGATAGGGCGGTATACACCACGCTTCCTGCAAACCCCGCAAATCCACTCTGCACAGATACCAGCGGGACGTCGTTTTTGTAGTGCCCAGCAAGGACGAGACTACTAATCGTAAAACAAGCCCCCAGTGCGGTACCTAGGACTGGTCCTTGCAACACTACCACAGCGGCATAACTCCGCGCCACATACAACGAGAACTGTGCTGCAATAGCCAGTATGATGCCGACTCCAAACAAGACTCTCCAGCCCCATGGTCGGGAACTGGAGTCGAGTATGCAGCGGTATATATAACCGATTGGCAACGGCGACGCGAAGAGGAAGAGGAGTTGGAGACTCGGTATTAAAGCGAGGGAAAGGAGGGAGTGCGTGGGGAAGAGGGTTGTGAAATGGTGTTCTAGCGTTGTGCTGTATGACAATGGTGTGCCGAGGACGTTGAAGAGAATGAGGGCTTGGGACCACATGCTTTGTTCAGTCAGCTAGGCTCGTCTCGTTTATTGAGAGGGTAGAGAGAGAACTGTGGAAGATGGTCGTACGATCGGTTTCGCTGTCTAGGTGCTGGCTCGCGGGGTGCGGGTAGAGGTGAGGAGCGTGCATGCGGTATACGGGCTGCGAGTCTGTTGGAGGGATTCCATTTAGAAGCTGCAGCCGGGATGCCGAAGTTGCCTTGTTGGATGGCGGAGAAGCTGGGTGGTTCGGGAGGTTGACGACGGTTCATGAGGGAGTGGTGTCTGCGTCGGACCTCGACTTCGGTGTGGGAATTGTTGAATCTATGCAGTGAGTGACGCGAGTAGCAGTGTCGAGTTCAGAAGTTGTCTAGTGACGAAGGTTGACGTGTGTGTATCGGTGCGATTGATATGCAAACGAAGAGGCCGAGACCACGATTGACTGATACTGCCTGCTTGATTGGTACATATATCAAACGCACCAGCTGTATGTCAATGCTATCGTGAATGTCCTCGAAGTAGGACTCGATGGCGATGATGCGCTACAAATACACCAAACCACAAAGTGCACGTCACAAGCAGTACACGAACCCGCACTCTCATCAGCGAAGAAATCTCATATTCAATCTTCCTATACCACATTAGTTCCGATAGAAACCTCATTCACCCCATACCAGGCCGCAATTCACACGTCGTAATAACGAACCCAAAAACAACCCAGAACGCCAGGGCGCAGTCCTCGCGCCCATCCCTCCATACATACATACCATCCTTTTTACTGCTCCATCTAAAAGATGGAATTGACAATATTTCCACCAATCGTCGCACCCGCACCAAAAATCGCCGCATTGCCCAACTTCTTACCAAACTTCTTGCCATTCTGTTCCATCTTACTCGGCTCACCCGCTGGCTGCACCTGTCCGCCTTGCTGCGCTCCACTCGCAACATCCAATGGCATGTTACCGTAGTTACTCGGGGCCGGCGCCCCACTGTACGCAGGCACAACGCTCTTCTCCTCTTTGCGGACGTAGCTAGCCGGGAAAATACCCTCCATACCCGTGCGCTCGTTCCGTCCCTTCCACCACTCATTGTTCATGTACTCTGTTACGACGACCTTGTCGTTGGGCATGAGGGCGAGGTCGCCCGCGTCTTGCGCGTTGTACTGGTACATTGCTGAGGCATGGGCGAGGACGGGGGGACCAGCGGGTGTAGCGGGGACGGAGGGGTAGGCTGGGGGTGGTGCGTTGGCGGTGTTGTCGGCGTAGTAGCCGATGTTTGCGGGGTTCTTCTTCTCTGGCGGAGGTGTGGGCTCGCTCTGAATGTTCATCTGGGAGAGCTGTGCGACGGGCACGGCGGGGAGGGCGCGCGCGCTGTTCTCGGCTGAGACGGGGAGTTGGGCAGCGATGGTGTCGTGTTGCGCCGGGGTGAGGACGTTGGATTCGACGAGGAATTCGAGGTTCTACGCAGGTATTGTCAACTTAAGGCCATTTTCAGGAGATGGGCAAGCTTACGTTCTTGATATCGCGGAGGGATCGGTTGATCATCGCGTTTCTGAAGGTGTCCGCCATGATGAGTGTGCTTTGAGTGTTTCTATCGCGTGTAATGCGCAAATACGGGTTCTGTGAGGACGCTCAGGCAGATTGTAAGGAGAAGTCGGTCAGAGAATGCGCGATGGAAGTTGGTGAGACGGGGTGGAGTTGATACGGGCGGGAGCACGCCTAGCACCACACCACTCGGAACGTCTGCGCCGCATTGGGGCTGTGCGCGTGTTGGCTGCGCAACTGCCCCGACTTTATTTCTTCACTGAAACAACTATTGACCTTATTAGGAACGCGTCTGACGGCATTATTTCTTTTGCGATGAGTTTCTAGCAAACAATAGTCCTCTCATCGACATGTGTCCTTGCGCCCATACATCAGGGTCCAAAATGTGGCTTAACTATCTAGGTACCACCAATACGCCCCACTCTATCATCTACAATCCATCCTCCAAACCTCCCTACCCACTCACTTCTCTGACAAGAAAATCTGCCTATACATCTCCTGCCTCTTACTCTCAAACGCATCGAACGCCTTACCCACAAACCCCACAGGAATCTGATCCTTCCCCTCTACCAGCCCCTTCCACGCCTCCTCCGTAAACTCCGCCAACGGCATACCGATGTTCCCCCCATCCTTGATATCAGGCTGATGCTTCTCATCATGCAACTCCGTCTGCACCGCAGGCGGGAAGATCTCAATCACCTTGATGTTGCCCGGCCCATTGCCTAGCTGATGCCGCAGGACGAGGATCATGTGGTGTAGTGCGGCTTTGGAAGCGCAGTAGTTTGGACAGCGCGGGAGGGGCATGAGCGCGAGGCCCGAGGTCGTGTAGATGAGACTGGTTTCCTTTTCTTGCTTCTGCAGAAAGGGGATGAATGCTGTGGTGAGGTGCATGTAGCTCAGATAATTCGTCCTAAACTCCATTTCTAGCAGATCCAAATCCACGGTCTCGGGCTTGGAGAAGTCGAAACCGCGCTGGATGCCCGAGTTGAGGAAGATGGAGTCTAGGTCTGGGTGCGCACTTGTTACATCTTTGACAAACTTGGGTATTTCGTCCAGCTTGGTGATGTCAAAGGCGAATGCCGAGACTTTGTCGCTGCCGTGCTTCTTTTGGAATTCGTCGAGTTTCTCTTGTCGTCGGCCGACGATGATGGCGTGTTTGCCGTCTTGGACAATCTTCTCTGCAAGGGCCCAGCCGATGCCGGATGTCGCGCCTAGTACGAGGACTTTGTTGTATTTGAGAGACATGATGTGGTTTTGATTCTAATGTTTTGTTGATGGGTAGGTATGGAAAAGCTTGGCTGGGAAGGCGCGTCTTTATAGCGACGCTGTAGCGATCATGGAAACATCATCAACGCCGCCACCAGCCAATCTCTACCCTGGCTTGATAACTACTGTTAACCCCACCATAGCAAGGTCTCGGTAGTATCGGATTTTACACACGATAGTCTCTGCTGCGTGGTGCACAGGAATTCTAGAACGTATACGTCATCGTGAAGATGTGGATCCGGGCTCGGCAGTTGCGACGGATGTATTTGAGCAGACCATCGCGTCTTTCACGGAACAGGCAAGTAACTGCACACAGTCAATGTTAGGATCATGTTCCGGATTGAGATGTTTTTATTGGTGCTGTCTAGCAACTGGGGTATCAAATTATGTTATTAAGTAAAGCCGTCACATCCACGCCGCGCAAGCATTATGCGCAAAGAAACTTGCGCATCCAAGCATTGCCCTTCTCCTCGTCCGCGTCTCTACTCAATTGACTGTTGGCACGCGACACGTTGACAAACTTCGGCCAGGTGTTGGTGAGAACAAGGTACTTGATCTCCTTCTCCGCAGCGTCAAACACCAGCTCATTGAACGCATCCGGAACCTCGACATCGGCCACAGATTCGTCATCGTACAGCTCGCCCATACGAGATACAGCCTTCAGGTTTGCGCGTCCGAGCTTGTCGAGGCTAATGGCGTTGGGAGACATGTGGTTGCTTTTGTCGTTGACGTTGATGGGCAGATCGGATGCATCATCGGGCATGACGTTGTCGAAGGGTGTGGCGTCGCTGACGGAAGATGACTCGGAGTTTCGGCGACGGCCGAACAGGAGGTTAGCGGTCCTCTCAAAGACCATGTGGAGGAGTTTCATCTCTTTGGATGAAATGTTGATAGGAAATTCGGAAAACTCGAGGGAGATGAAGTGAGCGTAAATGCGCGTGGCGGCGAGGAACTGCCTGCGGCGGTGTTCGGCGATGGAGGACTTGGGTGAGAACCAGTAGAGGCGCCAGTCTGCGACGTGGGTGAGGAAGCTGACGTTTTCGCCTGTTGGTGCAGTTAGTATGCGTTGGTGCAGTAGTTATCTGCGAAGGACTTACCAGAGAAATCCTTCAAGGCAGCAAACTGGAGCAGTGGCATGGCATTGGTCCTGAGTGCGTTCTCCAGCGCAGTCATGGTCAGGATGTCGGACTTTTGCGAGTCGAATGACTGGTTGCCAACGCTGACTTCCCCGCCGGACTTGAGTGTGGTCGTGGTGGAGTATTCGCTGGGGCTCTTGATGTCCATGGAGGCTGCATCCAAGCCCGCCGACTTCTGACGAGCTTCCCATTTTGCGATCGCGTCAAGAGTCTCTTGGCGCAGTTTGTTGCCTTTGAGTACGTCGAGGATAGGGAAGCCGATGCTGGAAATCTCCATGATGCAGAAGCAGACCGAGAACCACACTGGTGGAGGGAAGACAGCATTCATGGGAGCAAACGCGGGAGTGTAGAGACCAATGAGCCACAGCGGAGAAGCGGGAAGCCTACGGGAGTCAGTGAAGAACGCGAATAAACAATTCTTAGTACATACCCAGCAACACAGCAGATCATGGTCTGGAGACGCCAACCGTGCACATCGCGGATGCCGCGAGACTTGAAGAGAATCCAAGGCGCGTATATCCATGACCAGAACAACTGCCATACGATGGATAGCCACCATTCCCAGCCCTTGCTGCACTTCATGCGCACTTCCATACCGGTGCCGACAACGGTGTAGTCGATGATACCAAAACCACTGTGGAACTTTCGGGATGCGAAGTAGACAAAGAGAGTGAGGGCCATCTATCCAGTGGGTTAGCGCACGGTTGAATAGTAGCTGTAGAAGTTGCTTACCTGAACAGCCATGCCAATGCCGATGAAGATCAATGTTCGCTCGATGTTGTCGGCGCGCTCCATTCCATTCATGATCCTTTTCCAGCGGCTGTTGACGACCTCTTGAGCCTTCTTCTCGTCGATGGGCTCATGGTCCTTCAATGAGCTCATCCGAGCAAAGTGCCTCTGGCGTGCGGCAAGGTGCAAGAACTGACTGTTCGAGGCATGAAACAAGGCCATTCCTAGTGGCACAAGAATCGACATCGCCCAGAACTCAACAGAACAAGGAAAGACTGCGCCGAATGGGTAGGCTAGAGTCAATCAAGTCAGCACATGCTCGGTGTCGACAGATCCACGTGATGCTAAAGCGAAATTGGGTGTAGGAAGAGCGCGGGACGGTACGTACATAGCGTGCAGAGGGCACCATAGATGTGGAGGACGGAGACACCAGCAAACAAAAGCGGGAGCCTTCGCATGCGCAGCGATGGGTGTTGGCGATGGGTCCATAGGAAAGCGAAACCAGACAACAGTAGGAGATTCCAAACGATGAAAATAGTAATGTACGTCCAGCCAACGCCGTCGAGGACAAGGAGTGGGTTCACCATGGTGTCAGTGGGGGAATGTTCAAAGAGCGTGATGAGTACTGCAGCTCCTTCGACGACACTGGTATCGTGATGTTGGCAGATGCCCTCAACCTTATACCGGCTGCCTCAGTCGTTTGAAGTTTAATGAGAGTATCGGCGAGACGACAGGCAAGAGGGTTCGCGGCATGGTGCAGGGTGCGAAGATCGACACTTTCTCCCGAAGATTCATCTTGGACGCGGGAGATGTGCCAGGGTGCGTGATGTCGATAAAGTTGTCAGTCTGCAGCTGTCAGCAAACGATGTGCCGCTAGCTTACACCGGATCGTGAACTAAAGTCGGATGGGGCTTCGCTCTATGCTTAAAAGGCTAGGCTACGATCTGTCAACTGGGCATCCTGGAAAATTCCGTGGATCGTCATTTAATCGCCCAATACCCCAGGATCACATCCCTTCCAGATGATGCGTCCTTGCTTTTGTACGGTTGGGCTTGAAACACCTGGTTAGAGTGCCTGATGTTTTGTTTTTTCTGTTCAGATGCCGACTTTTCGGAGAGATTGACACCCTGCATATGATTGTCGCGCGGGAAAAGGGTAACACAGCCACATCAAGGGTGTGAATTCTGTCCTCGCTCTGGTTGCCATTCCGCGCGGTCGCGTCGATCACAGGAACATGGGTTCGCCGACCTCCAACCGAGCCAGAACGCCGACATTTCTGAACAGCCTATACCGAATAGCTACTTACACTCGTCATCAGTCTGACTCGCCTCCTGTCAACTGGCTGGCGTCCTCTATCCGGGTGCGCGGGTGTCCGGACACGACGATTTTCACGGCATAGGCCTTGTCACTTGGTCCATGCGCTGAATCACACCCATGCCGCTGTCGCGCAGCGTGTTCTGCTGTAGTTCCTGACGATCTTAAGCAATCCGATATAACGATAGAGCGAGGCTATGAAGAATGGGGCGTGGATGCCAACTATTCGATAGTCGAGTTGATAAAGCGATTAGCTACATGCCACAACCGACCTAGATGATCGTCAGGGACAGCGAGCGTTTCCTTAAGCACGTAATCGGACTGACGTCCTGTCACTGTGCAAGACGGCACTCGAACACGCGTGTGTGGTTATGTCAAGTGGAGATGCCGAACATGGTTTCGGGACGATAGGGTAAGGAGAAGCGCCGTTCCGTGAGTCCAGGCTATCCAGCCTCGTATCAAGGCACTTTGAGTGAGGCGACAAGAATCATGGCTGTTCAGCAGTAGACAGACTTCAGAGATTTCAAGCATCCGCTTACATGACCCCAGGCGGTTGGTCTGTAGGCAGGGGAGGGAGCGGTACGTCGGTTGCGAGCCTCGATGGACGCCAAGTGGTCCAGACTCTTTGGTTCACTAACGAAGTGTGCAGGTTTCTTGAGCGTAGGTCCCTCTCGTATCTTCGACGGAGTTCATCGCTGAGAATCCGCATGCGGGTAGGTCCTTCAGCTGCTGCGGAGATGTTTGATTACGCTGCATTGCTATTAGGTAGCTGCTCGCCTCTCGTGCACATAACCACGATCGCCATGTGGTAGCCCTGGAGCATGGCAACATCCGCGCATGCGGTTCTCCGCTCCAGGGGGCCTTGAGGTAAGAGCCTATGATTCTGCTGTGCGGGAATAATGGAAGGGGAAGCTCCGGTGCCTCAAGGGTTATACGTTACGGAGGCTGCTCAGCCATTGGGTAGTCACTTCACCTCGATAGATCGAATTTGCTAAACGCCGTTGTTGAACATGCTTGCTAAGACATTGGCAGAACAGAGTGCTTTGTTGTGAGTAAAGGACATCAGGTGACTCCGGGGCTAGCTTGGTGTTTCGTTGGGAAGTGTCGGGGAGGTGGAAATTGGGTACGAGTGCAGGAGAGGAGAGGCGTCGGCGTTTCGTGTTTCGCATGTCGCATGACGGCAGCCTCGCCCCGCGCAGGTGGGGACTGACTCGCGCCTTGGGATTTTCTCCCCGCCATCCCTCTTCGCGTCACTCTTGGGCTTACGCACCACACGCCCCGAAATCACGCCCAAACATGCCGCCCTCGCCCTGCGCCCTGTGCAAGGTGAATCGGGCACTTATCCTGCGCCCCAAAGATCACTCCAAGCTATGCAAGACGTGCTTCATCTCGGTCTTTGAAACGGAAATTCACCACACCATCACCACAAACTCGCTTTTCCAACGCGGCGAAAAGGTCGCCATCGGCGCATCCGGTGGGAAAGATAGCACCGTCCTCGCTTCTGTGCTCAAGACACTCAATGAGCGCTACGACTATGGCCTTGATCTCATCCTCCTGTCAATCGACGAGGGGATCAAAGGCTACCGAGATGATAGTCTGGAGACGGTCAAGAGGAACGCGGAGCAGTATAGCATGGACCTGACCATCCTGGGGTATGCAGAGTTGTACGGATGGACAATGGACCAAGTGGTGGAGCAGGTGGGAAAGAAGGGAAACTGCACCTACTGTGGCGTCTTTAGGCGGCAAGCGCTTGATCGTGGGGCGTCGAGGCTTGGAGTCAAGCATGTAGTGACAGGACACAATGCAGATGACGTTGCCGAGACGGTTCTGATGAATTGTAAGTACTGCCTGCTAAGAGTCAGTCTATACAGGACACTAACTAGAACAGTGCTCAGGGGCGACCTGCCCCGTCTGTCGCGCACAACTTCCATCATCACATCTACGCCTTCCGCATCGTCTGACCCGGCTTCGAATACCAACATCAAGCGTAGCAAGCCTCTCAAGTACGCATATGAGAAGGAGATTGTTCTCTACGCCCACCACAAGAGCCTCGACTACTTCAGCACCGAATGCATATATTCGCCTGAAGCCTTCCGCGGCAGTGCACGTGCTCTGATCAAGAACCTTGAGAGAGTGAGACCCAGCGCCATCCTCGATGTGGTCAGGAGCGGTGAGGA